TTTACATGATTAGCAAGTACGGCTATTTTTTAAATTAATTTATAAATAAATACGAAACAATGCCTATTACATGTTGTGTATACAATTATATATTTCAGGAAACATATTGATCGTTTTACCGACTTTTTACCATATAGTAAAACTTAACTATATGCTGTTAGGCCATTTATTGACAGGCAATTTGCAAGAGTTTTCCATATTTGTGTTGCACGAGAACATGGACAAGGAATATTTATACTCTTTAGTCAAGTCTCGCAAGGAGAACAAGAAGATCGTTTTAACCACCGACATAATCGAGTCCTTGCCACTCCCAATATCCTTTCAATATCTAATAGACACAGCATGCCAGAAAAGAACCTTATATGATGGTATCAGCAACAGTTCTGAGGACAGATATGAATGGGTAGCAACGGATTGTCTGCTTAGAAGACAATTGATTCTTGATGCTGAAGGTTGGTTTATAAATTTGTTAGTTCGCATAATGTAAGCCTAAGTAAATGTAATTTTCAGCAGTTTCTGAAAAACACTGTTTTCGGTTAATAGCAAAAGATGCATTCCAAATGCTGAGCGGAACGAGCAAGCCTCTACTGCAGACAATGCATTTGGACAAAATCTGTTTGACTGTCAAATTATTGTCGCCGAACACGATTATTAGTGAATATTTAAACTTAACTATTGCACCGCCGCCATTAATCAACGTCCACCAGACTGTGCAGTTCCTTAAAAAGATTGATGTGCTAGATGAATCCGAGGACGTGACATGGTTAGGCTGTCGGCTAATAGATATTCCTGTGCCTTGCCAACTGGGCCGTACTTTAATTTTTGGCATTTTGCTACAATGCCTAGATCCGATATTAACTATTGTCAGCTCGCTGATCACATCAGACCCACTGAGCATACCTTCCAACGAAGAAATCGACTACATATGGGATGGATTTACCATTTACATTCAGAATCGTATTAAAAACGAACGTGCACGTTTAGCGGAAGACCAATTTTCGGATCACTTAATTTTCGTTCGTCTGTTTCAAGAGTGGCAAAGCCGATTTAAAAATGACAAGCAACCAATATACCTAACCGATGACTACGAGTTCATGCTCAATGGCCTCATGGAACAGCTGAATTTAACCCGCATCAGACTTGTTAGTGCGCTGCGAGCTGCCAATTTGATACATAGCCAGGGTCAATTAAGTATACAAAACCTCAACAACAAATCGGGCAACTGGCCTTTAATAAAAGCGGCACTTACTGGCGGCTTGTATCCCAACATTTGCGCTGTAAATGATAAACAAATATACCTCAATTCGGGTCAGTCAAGCGAGGTGCATTTGCACTCTAATACGGTACTTCGGGACTTTCTGGAACCATTTCAAATATCCGCTCAGCGTATTTTCACGCAATGGTTGGTCTGCACGAAACAGAAGAACAACGTAAAGTATGCAACTGTTGTGGTTCCTCTAGCCGTAGCCATGTTTGCGGGTAAGCTTAGAATTCTATTTTGAGACTAACCTTCATATTTTTTTTTTGAGAACAGGCTCAACAAAGTTGGGACTTGGACAGATTACAGAGATTCAGTCGCCGTCGCATAGAAGCAAGATTCATTTTTTTATAGACGAATGGATATGGCTGGTGGCGGCCAAGTCCGACATCGAGCTGGTGTTGAAAGCACGGCATCAATTCTTTAAAATGTATCATAAATTTCTTAAAAACTGCACCGAATTGGAGAAGTGGCGAAACGAGTCGACCAACTCGAGGCAACATTTACTGCTCGAAACTTTGACTACAATATTTACAAATGAAGACGCAGCTGCCGGATTTAAAGAGTGTTCCTACATTGGTTTTCGACCCACTCTAAAGTTACCGGCCTTTTATATGCTCAGCGTCAATTCGCATTTCACTTGGCAACAATCAGATGACAAAACTGATTTAACGAACGGAGCACCTGGTTTAGATAGTATATTACTGCATATTGAAAAACATTATTTTTTGCTTTACACAGAAGATAACCCCGGGCAGTTTTATAAAAAAAGTGATGCGTCCTATATTGAAAGTGTCATAGGCAAGTTTGCCAGGCCGATCGAATCACCTAGTCGACATATTTACGTGATTTTGTATTCAAAAAAACCCGATAGAATCATAAGCATTAGCCGAGCTAAAAGTCAAAAGGGTGAATACATCTTAAAAGAATATTTCAGGAATGCAATCCCATTGAGCGAAATTTTGTAAGTATTAGCCAAGCAGGGAATCAAAGCAACCTATATAATTGTTTACGTTTGATTTCCTGTTGTTTACAATCAGACATTTTATTGACAATATATATACATAGAAATTTTTAATACAATACAATACTATAACTTTAAAGGCAGGCCTGTGCATCTTTAAATGTGAAAGCTCCCAGCTTTGATGGTCGCCAAGTGTCAATTCTTATCGACAAAAAAGTTGGAAATTTAATTATGGATTTATTTGCTTTTCGACACCATTGGATACACAAATAACAGCTAAAGTTAAGTTTACAATGTGTTAGTATTAATGGCGTTCTGTGTTAGCCATAGTATAAGTAAGATTAAGACAAGCTACAAGATTCACTTCCCACTTGGAATACATTGCATTTACAATAATTACGTATGTTTTGTAGTGAGTGAGTGATCTGAAATATATGTAATCTCGTGAATACTTAATTATGTGTTAATATAGTTTTTCTGTTTAAATTAAGTAAAATATGTTTACTTGAAAATGCATTCGATTTCATAATCTTACACAAATATAGAATGTTAAATGCGGTGACTACGGAAAGTTAACAGGTGATAACAAATATTTCTTTTTTATAATACATTTGGTTTATTTCTAAAAAAATATTCGAGATTATTACTGAAATTACAATGTATATTCGATTACACGGAAATGGTAAAGCAAATTTACAACTGTTTTAATTTTATCAATGGCACCCACACGATTTCACAATCATATTTCTATACTTTTTCAAGTTGACATTCTCATCGTTGAGATGATACAGAACAGGCAATGCTCCCAGCCGAGTTGGTGCACAGCAGGGTTTTGGCACCCTTTTGGGCTCGAGCAAGTGCACCAGAGTTTGAACAATTGCGTGATTCGTGGCATTCATGTGCGCATTTAGCGGAAAATTGCACTCTCCACTGCAATAGAAGGCGCCGTAGCCCTCCGGCGCGATTATCCAGTCATGCCAGCCCAAATCCTTAAAGTCAATGTAGAGTGTTTGCATCTGACAGCTGCGCGTGTTCTCTATTGAGTTCTCTATAAATGGATTTACCGGCTCGGATTTGCTCTTTTTGCGCTGATGCAGAGTGCTGCGTTTTGTTCGCTTCTGCGTGCTGTGGCCAGATGTGGATTTAATGAGTTCAGGACCTCTGAAAAATCCGATCATAAAGGGCTGATTTTCATCATCCACCTTTGTTCTGCGATGTATTAATCCGATATCATCGAGTTTGATTTCTCGTTCCGGTTTGTTCAGAGCATGTGCACCGATATAAATGCCGTGATTTTCGTTTGAATTAACGCGCCAATCATGCAACGCCTCTGTAACATTGAGCTCCAGCCAGCCAACGTAGTCACCTGTTGTATTGACCGACGACAACGGCTCCAGCATGTTCGGAGCCGATCCTCCCGAGCGTAGCATGTAGACTGTGACCGTAAACTGTTTGTTCGTTGTAGTCCATTTGCCCTCGTTAGAGTTTTGATATATGCGCAGTTCGGCCATCATTAGATAATTGTCTGTGGGAATATTGTTGACATCGAACCATAGTCGGCGTCCGTGCTCGTGGCGCATTTCTTCGACATTGTGATTACGTTTGTTCAGAAAAGTCATTATAATATCGCTCTCGTCTATGGCACGTTTGTCCAGATCTGTGATGAAATTCTGCTCGCTTTCATTGGCATCACGCTTCGAGCGGCTGTGATCACTTTTGTTTTTAATAGCAAGGCCCTCTTCTGCGGTAATGCGGTAATAAACGTCAAGCAGAAACTTGGGCGCCGATTTTCTAAGGGACAAGCCATGGCTTTTGTGGTGCAAGGGACGCGCGGCAATGCCCAGGAATTCCAATATCTCATGTGAGACGTCCAACTTATCATCGTCGGTCAGCACACGTTCCATGACTGTCTGATCTTTACCATTATCTATGTATATGCCAGATTGTGTACAGTGAGTATGGGGTGCAGTAAAAATAATTAATATTAACCAAAGCGATGGTAAAACGACAAGTGATGCTGTCATGATTCTTCGCACTATGAATTATTATATTAAGCTGCTGGCATCTAGTTGTATGTAGCTTAGACTGTTTTTGCAATCGTTCTACTGTGATTTTTTATTTGTGTAGTTATTAATGTGTACATCGAAAATACATACACACTTGTATTAGGTTCGTCGTGTGTATCTTAATCCCATGGATGCATTTCTTTCTTAAAGCCAATTCTTCACAAGTTGGCAGGGCTGCCACAATGATCTGCAGGGCGTACAAGCTCCGGAACCAAGTTAGCTGGTTCTTTTGTTCTACAATTCGCAAAATATGAATTTATATTTGCATCAATTCGATAAAAATGCTATTATTATTAAATTTAAATTTGTCTACTTTTCATAATCTATTGATATTCCCTTCTATAGAAAAAATATACAGCTAATTGATAATATCTTCCCATCAATTAGTTGCTCGCGAAGCCGTAGCTAATTATCATGTCAACTCTTTTTGTAAAGTCGCAAACCAAACATATTTTACTGCAACTTTTTACCAGCAGCAAAATTCAAATTGTATCTAGAGCGCGCCATTCATCAGATTAAACAGCTGTTCGTTCGATTTTTAGTACACGTATTTGAAAAATAACTGTGACCAGGGACTCCAGGGATACCAGGGATTCTGGATTCATTTCAGCTATCGTCAAATTAGTTCATTTTCGATAACAATATTAGTAATAAATCAGCTGACGTCTTTTGGCATAGTGCTCGAATAGCTGTTTGTTCATTGTAAAGAGAAACCTGTCAGAGACAGGTTTGCTGAGCGAATAATAATACGAACAATTAACGTGTGAAACTACACAGTATATTTGTTAAATACATGTAAATACATATATATACGAGTGCATCGGTATTTTTGTTTGTTGTCCGGAAGTGAGATTCTACAGGTGTGTTGCAAGAAAGTGTTTTCATTAATTGGCAGTGTTTAAATGCATATATTATAAATAGATGGTCTTGTATAATTATATGGATAAATATGCCTAATATTTTTAGTATATGTATATATACATACATACACATACGTATTTTGATACTATGTTATTAAACCTGATTCGTCACTGCATAGAAATATCAATATTTCGCTAAAATATAAAAACTATAGAAATCTATAAAGTATGCAACAAACATATGTAATATATATTTGATTTTTTAATATGCACATATATATTAAACAATTCAAACAGATTACACACAAAAGTTCTTAAATTTGTATGTATTGGTACATATATTTTTTTTATAAAGAAACGCTTTCAAATCCAACGGCTTTATAATTAACAATGTCCCAAAATTATACGCACGTGCATATCTATGATGTCACCGTTAGATTGTATGTATGTATGTATGTATGTTCATGCGAATGAAACATTAAAAGCTAAATATGTTTGGGTGGGTCAGGCAGAAAATGTAAGAAGAATATGAATATTGCATGAATGAATGCATGAATGTGTCAATTCTTCATCTACTCAGAAGTGAATGATTTATGTGTGTAGCTTGTTTTAAATATTAATGTCGATATTATTGGCAAAAAAAAATCTGTCTTTGAGCATATCTCTGAGCTAATATCAGCTTAAACACGCAAAATTCCTCTATGCATACATAGAATATTTCATATTTTGCCTTCTATATGCCTCAATATCGAAAGAAACTAACGACAGTTATCAAAATTTATTTTTCATTCAAATAGCGGACAACAGTTTCTACAAATAATAATTCTTAGCTTAAGTATAACTATTTAGTGGAATTTTATAACAAATTGTTAGCGAGGGAATCAGTATCCAGTTCTAATTCATCCCAAGGGAAATTATTTTTTATATTATCCTACAGATGTATATATATATAATATGATAATAAGATAATTACTTCAAGTCATGCAATGGGACTTACTTAATAGTTAACTCATCCTTGAAACACGCATGAGTAATAAAATGAACAACAAGTGAGAGGCTCCAGTCGGGCGCTACTCGCCTACTCGTCTCGCCTTTGATGCTGACCAAGAGTAATAATATACTTTATGTGGTCGGCGATGTTTCTTGCCTGCCTCTTTTTCACCCATTTTCAATTCGTTCAAGCATAGAACATATAGAGTAAAAGAATGGGACCATGCATACTTTTGTCGGCAGGTCCAAAGTCGTCTTCGTTTTTGTTCGGTTCGAGACACGCTCACATGCTCAGACAGCAAGAGAGTAAGAATACACATGATTTATCTCGCTCCCACTACAGGAAACGGCTTTGGCTTACTCTCATCCATAGGATTTGCCATATGAAAGTTGCATAAGAGCCTGGATTTCGATGTTATTTTACGTTTAATTCGATGTTCTCTTTCCAGGATGGATGAACTTAAGGGTTTTCTGAAACAAGCCGGCCAAGAGTTTCTCAATGCCGCTGGCGAGGCTGCGATGGGCGCCGCCAAGGATGTGGTTGGATCTGTGATTAACGAAATATTTATAAAGAAGGAGGCGGATACCAAGCGCGTACTTCCAAGCATTAAGAATATGCGAGTTGTAAGTGATCAAAAAGAAATTCGAATTATAATTATTACAATATTGAAAAAAAAAAAAACAGTTGAACTTGCATGAATTCATATCTCATATACACTTTTATATGTCTGCTAATTACGTTTCGGTCAAACGATAATTTAAAACTTAGCAACCCTTGCATAATGAAGCTGCCCTTTATGTAATGTAAGTAATTTAGTTGACGGTGTCCTTCGCAACTGCAAAACATTGTCCTAGTACGTTCTATCTATGTGTTCGTGTCTTGTATAAATTATCAAAGGTATAATTTCCTAATTTCTATTACACTCTGAATGTTATTTCATCCTAAGTTTACAGCAAGACATTATTTAATGTGTATATAAATGGAAAGTAAATCGTTGTGAGAGCTAAATATATAAATATAATATGTATATATCGAACCGCACAGCCCAAATCGTAACAGCTAGGAATCTGACCTAGGTTCTATAAATCTCTATTGTTTAAAAATTTTCTTATGAAAGCCAATGGAAAGAAAAATTTAGGTGTCAAAGCATAAAACTTCGAAGCGGCAACCCCGGTAAAGATCAGCTATTTTTCTTATATAAAACTGACTTTGATAAATGGTCAACGAACAGACCCAACCAAGAGATCTAGGAAGCTGTACGCGGAATCTGGCATAAGGTGCCCCTTCAACAACTTTAATACTCTAGAGCGCTAATTAATTTATATTAACAGGTTTGGGTTTTATAAATACGTACTATGGCAATCCATTGTAAACTACGTATTTGAGATTTAATCGGAAATAGAGTTCCCGAATAGATCACATGAATACGGCGAATAAATGACTTGGTATGATGCGCTCCTCTTGGTAAAGCCCAAGACTTTTCATTGAGTTTTTGTGAATTCTTTTCAGTACATTCGAAAACTTTCTTTACTTTTCATATCGCGTAGATAACACGATAAAGTTTTGTTCTAAAATCAATTTATTAATGTTGCCAATTTGTCCAAGATCTAAAATTCGTTCATTTAATTACTTTCTGTTTAAGAACATAAGTTGGGCACAATACTTGTTATGCAAAAATATTTTTTTAATTAAAGAAACGTGTTTTTTATTATATATACATTCTTGGGGAAAACCTGCTGAAAGAGTATCCATGCAAAATTTCTCGATTATAAAAGCCTTAGGGATTCGAAATCAAATGAAAGTCGCACAACTATGCCAAGGTTTAAATTATAAATATTTTAAATTAAATTAGAAATTATAATTGAACTATAGTTCTAGTCAACTGCACTCAACTAATAAATGGCTGTGTATTGTTATTGTTATTGTTATTGTTGTTGTAACGAAGTACGTGAAGACCTCTTCCTGTCTCGCTTAAATATATAGAGTATTACGCCTATGTTTATAAAAATATCTATAACCATGTCGGATATTTGACAATGTATATGAGAGGCAGAATGGAACATCTGCAACATCATGAGAATATATATATTCAATATCCGAGTAAAGCCGGGTAATCTGGGCAGGTCCGTCTGACAAATCATTCATAACTTTTTTTCTTCAATAAATCGATAGAAATCCAGATCGATATCTGTTTTTTTTAGCATATCTTTTAATCTTTTTATCCCTTAAATGGCACTGTAAATATTCAGCTTAAGTTTTTTAGGAAAGAGTTCAGGATATCTCCTAGTCTGGCACTTCCGACTGTTCCCCATTTTTTGCTTTCTACCATTGTGCAGAATCGTAAATCACGTCAGTTGTGTAAAGATAATTTCTTATTTGAAGAATACAAATATTATACAAATTCTAAGTATAGCCTAATAAAATTTGCATTTTTCTAGCTGGGCGAAAACAACTCGAATCTTGGACCGCACTCGGAGGTGCAGGATTATGAAACACTTAGGAATAATTGTTTGACGAATGGATCTTTATTCGAGGACGCACTCTTTCCGGCCAGCAATGAGTCCCTCATGTTCTCACGCCGACCCGACCGATATATAGAATGGCTGCGACCTCATGTAAGTCTCTCTATTGATAGTCAATAAGCCAGCTTTTTAAATATTTGTGCACATGTTAATGATTAAATGACGTTAAAAACAAACAAACTTAAAATAGATAACTGAAGCGAATTATTAATGAAGCTCTGTCTAAGTTCCCTGTATAGATATCTTATAATTCTTGATGAGCTTTGACAGGCGAGTCAGAGTCTGTCTGATTATATTCCTTTCCAGAAACATGCTCCAGGGGATACAATTAGATTTAGCCTACATATCTCAACTGCTTGACTCGATCCTCGAGGAATTGCCTCCATCAATTCACAGCTCTTGAGGCTCAGTCGAAATCGATTTCGGGCCAAGCATCCTGAAATGTCATGACTAAAATCTTCAGGAATAATTTTCTTCATCTATTGACAATATCTTTTCAACACATTATTTTTCGGGGAATTTTTAGAAATTGTAAATACATAAGCCAAGGTTTATTCCAAAAGCTATTAGTCTTTCGTTGCGCCTATTTTACTTCTTGTATTTGCTAATTGTACGACTTTTCTAACAATATTTAAATTTTTTTCAGGAAATCGTTGACAATCCTCAATTTTTCGTCGAAGGCTATTCCAGATTTGATGTGCAACAGGGCGAACTTGGCGATTGTTGGCTTTTGGCTGCCACCGCAAACCTGACACATGAATCGTCTCTGTTCTTCCGGGTGATTCCCCCGGAACAAAGCTTCGAAGAGAACTATGCTGGAATATTCCACTTTCGTTTTTGGCAATATGGTAATAATTTGAATTAATTTTTAATTTTTTTTTATTTATCATGTCATAAGATTATATGTACCCCATACAACATATTTTTTGAAGAGAATGTTTGAATAACAGCCAAATGTTTGTCTGCCTTTCTCTATGCAAACCAGTCTCTGCCTATCAAGGCCTCTGACCTCAATGTCTGCTAGCATTCAAAAGGTTTTCAACGAGAGACTGGCATACTTTCGAAGTTCTCCGAATAAACTTAGGTTAATATTGCTCGCCAAACATCCTGCCAGAAGATACGTTTTCCGTCCCGGGCCAGCATTATTTGCTTAATTTGGAGCAGCATTGTTGAATTTGCATTATTTGGAGAAGAATTGATACTCTTTTAGGCTTACAATGAACTTATATAAAACATGCCACCTTTTTGATTTTTAACAGGTAAATGGGTTGACGTGGTTATTGATGACCGTTTGCCAACGTATCGTGGAGAGCTACTGTATATGCATTCGGCTGAGAAAAACGAATTCTGGAGTGCACTCTTGGAGAAGGCATATGCTAAGTATGAATATTAAGCGTGCTGTAAAGTTGTAATTATTATTATTGTCATTCTTTAGACTTCATGGATCGTATGAAGCCCTCAAGGGCGGCACCACATGCGAGGCGATGGAAGATTTTACGGGCGGTGTCAGCGAGTGGTATGATCTTAAGGAAGCACCAGCGAATCTTTTTAGCATTCTGCAGAAAGCCGCAGAACGTAACTCCCATGATGGGATGCTCCATCGAAGCAGATCCCAACGTGCTGGAAGCCGAAACTCCACAGGGATTGATTCGAGGACATGCTTACTCCATTACCAAGGTTTTGTAGTTGACTTTGTGTGGCGAATGTACAATGTAAAATTTTGTATATTTACAGGTGTGCCTTATTGTGTGACACCAAATCGGCAGGGCAAAATCCCCATGATTCGCATGCGAAATCCGTGGGGAAATGAGGCAGAGTGGAATGGTCCATGGAGCGACAGCTCGCCCGAGTGGCGATATATACCTGAAGAACAGAAACAGGAAATTGGCTTAACATTCGATAGAGACGGCGAATTTTGGATGTCATTCCAAGATTTTCTGACACATTTTGATCGCGTTGA